AACTTTATTTATTTTTCTGCAGGGTTTTGAAAGACAACAAGATGAAAGAACTCCCACCAGGGATATTCTCAAACCTCATTTACTTGCAGGAATTGTAAGTAAACGATCTACTGTCTCTTTGTTTGTTATTTAATACCAAACGTAACTAATCGATGATGAATGACATCAATGAGTAATCGATGAGTAATCATTGGGTAATCAACTGATAAGTCATTGATTATTCGCTATAATCAATGTGTAATCGATGACTAATCGATTGGCAAAAATTTTGTGGCCTATCGATTACTCATCGATGACATCGATCGATCATTGATGTCATCGATGAGTAATTGATGCGTTGGATTATTTATCAATTATCTAATGACTATCCACCTATTAGTCATTGACTACACATCTCATACAATTTCTAGCAATTTTTTTCTTAACTTATTTCGGGTGATAAAAATTTACCTTCCCGTTTCTTGACGATAATAATAGCCAAATAGGAATTGAACTTGCATGTAGAAAACCAATATGTAGGCCATGACGAAAACAGAACGGCAAATCAAGTTTATCTGGTGGACAGTAACTGAAATATCAGAAAAGAAATTTTCAGAAGGTCGACTTATGGCTATCTCTTGGCTATTGGAGTCTGTGTCTTTGTTGAGAGACGCAGCCACCTTGGAGTGCCTACCGGGTAAAAGATCATGAATAATTAAAGCTTTTATTGTGACATTTATGCCAAAGAAGTCTTTGTTTCTTTATTTTCCATTTGGTATGGTTTGCGTACCCGCGAGATTATATTCGATACTTAATCAATGACTAATCGACGACTGAAAATTTGGGGGGCCTATTGATTATTCCTCGATTACTCATCGAATATCGGATATAATCAATGACTAATTAACTTATTACCCATCGATTACCTATTGATTAATCATTGATGTCATGATCTGTCATCGATTAGTTACATTTTGTTTATATGAGTGGCTCTCCTCTAAAGATCGGAAGACCTCTTATGGCATCCGTCAGTTGGAGTGTCAGGATTTCATTGTCCATAGTTTTTCTTCACATTTATTCACATTTTAAGCGTTTATTTAGCTCTTTAAAGATTTGCTTACAACCACAGTCCTCTGCACGCGCACAACTCTCAAGAAACCATTTTCGGGCTACCAAAAATTCAACATATTTCTTTTGTCTGTTTCGATCGTGTTATAACTTGGAATTCATTCAACTTCTCTTAAAACTTTTAGAACTATCTCTTCTCAGACTTACTTTATCGTATCGGAGCAGAGTGCATTGCACTTCTATGCTCAGTTTCTCGTGTGGCTTCTTCTAGTTTTCAGTAAATTCATTTTAATGATGCACTAGTGAGCAGGACACGTACACTTCCAGTGAACATTTTCAGTTGGAAGAAGGAGTTTAACTGAAACCATGCTCGCCCAGGGCACGAAAATTACTCAGCTCCCAGCACAGAAGTGTAGTACACTCTGGTGGTATAGTAGAATTCCAACTTCGCTAACACTAGAGCCCTGGTGGTTCAGTGGTTAGAACGTCCGATCTAGTATTCGAAGGGTCGCGAGTTCGATTCTCGCCCGGGGCACCAAAATTTTCGTTGCCTCCGGCGAGCATGGTTCCTCCTTCTTCCAAGTGAAAACGTTCACTGGAAGAGTACGTGTGCTGCTCACTAGTGCAGCATTAAAATTAAAGAGTAATTTCCTAGAGTTGGGCTATACTAGTTGTTGGCAAATGATTAAAGAAACATGTTGGCAAATTATATACTTTCTCATGTCCAAATTCCAATGAAATTCTTTCCGTGCAGACTAACAAGCAATTAACGGTCGAGGCTGAGTATGATAATAATACTAATAATATTACTAATAATAATTAATATTTTATTCATCGGATAAAAATACATTAGATATTGCTTTGAAAAGTTAAGAATCAAGCCCAAAATACTGATGTACCCAAGTAAAGAAAAATGGATAAATAAATAAATAAAAATTTTGAAATCTCTTATTAAACGTTTATACAAGTAATTTAAGTTAAAAATTCTGAAATCTAATATCTATATAGCTAGGTTATGCTTAAAAAATAATCAGTTAAAAAAGCTATTTTTTAAAACGTTCAGTATTTACACTAGGTCTTAGAATGGAGCTATTTTTAAGTCGCTCTGATGATACCTTATACCTGGAGAGGAGATTATTAAATGGATAGTCGCAGCTATAAGAATTATAAGAGAGCATTAACACACTCAAAAGTTACAACTACATCGATTTCTCCATACGTAAGTCACCTTAACAGCACTTTTTTCGCCTCTTCAGTTTTTCACGAAGTGTTGACAAAACACTACAATGTACAAGAAACTATTCATGTTCTTAAATCAAATGATCCTTGACTTGTTGACGCGTGAGTTGTTTCCCATATTTTGTATCTGGAAAAACGCAAGCACCTTACCTATGGCACCTGCGCCTGTCAATTCAATAAACATCCTTAAACAATATCAACAAAGGCATTGTATTGTTAATTGCATTAACGAACCGACGGCAGAGAGAAAAAAATAAAGTCCATGTTCACATTTTGTTTGAGCACGATATACAGGACAAGACCACAACGGTTACAGAAAAATTATCCAACTTAACTGAGAGTTGCAACGCTTATTCCTTCATGTGATAGTTGATAATCAATTGAAAACTATGTAAAAACATTCCACGATTTCCGTTTATCTAATCCACAGTAAATACAATTATTTACCTACAGAGATTTGATAAACAACGAGATCAAAGAGATCCCGTCAGGAATATTTTCAACTCTCTCTTCCTTGCAAAGACTGTAAGTGAACAATGCACTATTTCATAAATTTTTATATAACTGACCTCGAAGGATCCAATCACCTCTTTTGGCACCTGCGGCTGGGAGGTTGAGTGCATACAAGTCAGAAGCAACCATGTTTGGATTAACTTAAATTCAGGCACGTCTTTTCGTCTGTTTTCATCCTGTTATATCTCAGAATTCCTTCACCTTCTCTCTTACTTTTCTGATAACCTTGCTTGACTAACTATTGCTAAAATTGCTCTGCTAGAATTACTTTGCCTTGCCTGTTTGCTCGGTAACTTTTTTTAAAAGCCCCGACTGGGCTAAAGGTTTTTGCGATGTTCGCTTGCTAAGAATTTACAATAGTGCTAGCTATGCCGTTTTTAAACATAATACTTATTCCCTTGAACAGTGCAACACCTATGTGTTACGCTGATTTTGGAAGTGCTTCTCTCTTCTCGGTAATCCAGTAATTAAAAAAATTCACCAAAGTGCAAATTATGAGAGAAACTTGCCACGCCCAAGAATTAACGATCACTCGTAAAAGCTTGGGTTTGATCTGGAAAAGCTTTACCTTAAACAATTTAAAACGCTTACTGCTTAAACCTTGATGGGTGAATTTAGAATTTAGAACAATACAGTAGACCATTTCTTGATACGATCCTCCCCATAGGCAATATCTTGCTGTTCCAACGTCAGCACTCACTTTCGCGTTGAGATTCCTAGTATACAAAACGTTGGAATTCTCTAGTTGCTTAGTTCCTTAATAACATTTCGTCACCTTTATCAAGAAAGAAAAGATGGCTTGAAATGTTTCACTCCCAGTTTTATCAAGTTAGCGATGCTTTGTCCAGCATACAGCGCCCTCCTCCTACTTCAGGTCGTAAGGATAAAGAAAGCCGCGTTAGAGTTTTTTCCGTTCAGATGAGTTAAACATTTTTTAAAGCAAAAAAATGAGATTTATTTAAAAGAAATAAATGGTTTTATGCTCAATGTGACTGATCAATATTGTATATCTCCACCTACCAGCAAAGGAGAGTTTTCCTGTCATCCGGGTGATTTGTCACGAAAGTGTCATTCATGTCACGGGTCAGGCCAGGAAAGCGAGGCACAAGGCCTCCTTCCTTGCGTTACAAGACAGTCAGAAACACTCGTTCCTTGCTCTGGGCTGTGGCGGGTGTGCCCTCACTTTTGCTGGGATAGTGTTCTTGTGTATCTGGTTTTCCCAGCTTTATATACCTTAATTTAATAAACGGCCATTCCCGAGGCCAGATAATCCCATAATGGGTTTGTGATTATTTTGTGTCCCAGCAAACAGAGCTCACCCAAAGCTAGACTCCGCCAACATCAATAACTGACTTAATATGTAAAGGAACGTGAAGCATAAATACTCATTTCGAAAGAAAAGACTCAAAAGGCGAGGAAGTCTCAAGAAGCCATGAAGGCGTATATGTCAGACTTCCTCTTTACATTGGACTTAGTTGTTATTATAGGTTTTTATTAAATCTTTAAGCAATAGAAAACGTTTTCCGTGTTTGCATAGCCTTATATGAACACGAGAGGGGTTGGGAGAATTCGAGACAGTTCTGCTACTGTAATTCAAGTCAACATAAATCCTCTTACTCTTACAATCATTGTATGATAGATTTCTAATAACAAATTCTCATTTCAAGACATTCTTTCACTTTAATGCCCAAATCAGGTGCCTTAAATCCTTTAAAAACTTTGCTAGACTGCATCTTGGTTGGTTTCACAACCGGACACCCACTCAGTGTGTCTTCATCAACCAGAACTCCTCTAAAAGTTTTAATATAGACTGTGGTGTTCCACAAGGTAGCTATAGCGGCCTGGGGCCGATTTTATTTATCCTGTATCTAAAAGAGATTCAACGTCGTTAAGAACCACCTACCTAGTATCCATATGTATGTAGATGATATTCAGCTGTATTTGTCCTTCATGCCATTTTCGACTTCTCCTTAACATGATGCACTCCTCAGAGCAATCCAAGCTTCAGTATCAGACAAAAGTAGTTGGGAGCCTTCCACCCAACTCTGTTTCTACTTCTGGTCCGTCTCCTCGTCCTCCCAATGCTGTTTATCGCAGTTAACTCACCAAATCTCCCACACCAACATTGGGAGGGCAAGAAGACATCAAAGCGCCCCAACAATTTTGAATGAGACTGTTGTATGGCAGAAGTTCTAGCTTGGATGGTCACCAACCGACTCAAGATAAACGATACAAAAACGGAGTTTCCCTTTGTGGGTTCCCGCCAACAGTTGAGCAAGGTACAACTTGAATCAGTCACGGTCGAGGATTCTGAAATCAGCGTCCGCAATCTCGGGGCATGGTTTGATGGGCATTCATGTGAGCAGTCTGCGGTAAGGCCTTCCGCGATCTATATTTCATCAGACAGATCCGAAAGCATCTATCGGAAGATGCTACCAAAGTCCTGGTTCATGCCTTTCTAACATCTCGTCTCGTCTATTGGAACTACCTGCTCTTTGGTTTCCAAAGTATCAACGTGATCGGTTACATAGGATTCTTAGCAGCTGCATCTGCCCACATTGTCTGCTTGGTACCCAAGTTCAGTCACCACACACCAGCCTTTATAATCTACATTGCTTACCAGTGCCCTAGTGCTACCAGTGCTACCCGACCACTGAGCTCTCGTTGGTGTTGGCCCTGTTTACCTAAAGAAGTTTCTAAGATTCAAGGAAAGTGGTCCCTACAATTTAAGATCTAATGCCAGCTGCGAATTAAAGGTCCCCAAAACAAAGTGCGAGACCCTTGGGGACAGGGCCTTTTCGCACTTGTTGGCCCCTCACTGTGGAACAATCTCCCTTCAGCTATCAGGAGTATCTGGAGTGTTTAGGGTTTCAAGCAGGCTCTAAAGACCTTTTGATTTCGTTTAGCATTAGCTCAGTGAACCAATTGGCGTACAGTGATTGTGATGTTTTATTTTAGTTTTCTACAAGTATCTGTTATGTTTAGTGTACGTTTGTCAGCTTTTGTTAGCGCTTTAGAATATGTGTACAGTTTTAGCGCTATATAAAGTTAATAGAATATATTATATTATATGAGCCATATTTGGCTCATATAATATAATATTAATAATATTAATATATAATATTTCTGAAAAACAACATTGTTACCTCAACTGTCCACACCGTTGGATTAACTGAAATGTGATTGATATATGCGATAAGTTTGTTGCTTGAAGAAAGTTTAGGGACTGCATATCTATGCACAATACATAATTAAGGAGGTTCTCCTTTCACGCTTTCTTTTGCTGGTTTTTGTCGATAAAACTTGCCGCACAGCCTTATCCTTACGCTTTCCTATAACAGTGTCATAAGCGGGAATGCTACGGATAACATTCTCTTCAGAAATTTTAAATTGACGTTTACTCTTAGAATATGTATTTGACACAACCCTTTCCTGTAAATTACTTGCATTAAATATGTAATTTGTTTAGTCGCTTAGTTTACACCTTTTGTTTAATGTATCAAACATTCCACCAAGTGGTGGTCTTTTGTTTGTCTTTGTACCACCATCGATCAGTGCCGTAGCACGTTTCTTCTTTTCAATGCAACTTTTGGACCCTGGTCAGACTTGCATTACAAAGTACAGTTGCCTCTTTGGTTCTCTTTGCAGAAAATTGTTGCAATGAAACGTTAATGAACGAAATCAGTTTAGACTAGCAGTAATGTTGTTTGGCTATCCATATCAATTAATTCAGTTTTCATTCTTCGAAAAGAAAACTTTGTTGGTTTGTCTCAACCATGCCTAATGAATTTTTTCGTACAATTCGTGCCCCAAATCAGGACAGCTGGTGACGGTTAATTTGACAACTCTTAGCAACTTTATTAGCAGGAGTTCCTTGTGCTTTCCGGTACATCACGACTTTAGGTCTTTTTCATGCCCAAATTCTTTCCGTGCAGAGCATAATAAGCAAATACCGGTTGAGGCTGAGTATGATAATAATAAATATAATAATAATAATTTCTTATAATTTATAAGTTATTCATCAGATAAAAATACATCAGATGTTACACTGAAAAGTTAAGATTCAAGCACTGTTGTATCCAAGTAACGAAAAATAAATAAATAAATATATTTTCTGAAATCTCTATTAAAACGTTGATACAAGTAAAATATAATGTTTATAATTCAGCTAGGTTATACTTAAAAACCAACCCGTTAAAATAGCTATTTTTAAAACGTTTTGTATTTACACCACGTGTTATAATGGATGTATTTCTAAATCGCTTCTGATGAGACCTTATACCTGGAGAGGAGATTACTAAATGGATGGTCGCTGTTGTAACAATTATTAGATAGCATTAACACACTCAAAATTAAGTTACAACTACATCGATTTCCCCATACTTAAGTCACCTTAACAGCACTTTTTTCGCCTCTTCAGTTTTTCACGAAGTGTTGACAAAACACTGCAATGTACAAGAAACTATTCATGTTCTTAAATCAAAGGATCCCTGACTTGTTCACGCGTGAGTTGTTTCCCATATTTTGTATCTGGAAAAACGCAAGCGCCTTACCTATGGCACCTGCGCTCGTCGATTCAATAAACACCCTTAACCAATCACAACAAAGGCATTGTATTGTTAATTGCATTAAGAAACCGGCGGCCGAGGGGAAAATAAAGCTCATGTTCACTTTTCGTTTGAGCACGATACAGGACGAGACCACAACGGTTACAGAAAATTATCCAACTTAACTGATCACTGAGCGTTGCAACGCTTATTCCTTCATAGTTAATAATCAATAAAAACTAGGTAAAAACATTCCACGATTTCCGTTTATCTAATCCACAGTAACTTTATTTATTTACCTACAGAGATTTGAGAAACAACGAGATCAAAGAGATCCCGTCAGGGATATTTTCAAATCTCTCTTTCTTGCAAAGACTGTCAGTGAACAAAGCACTTTTGGCACCTTCGGGTTGAGGGAAGAGGGGTGATGAATAGGGGGTGAACGTTTGATTGATTACCTGCAGTTTGGCTTCTCCTATTCCTCTTATTTCTTCATAGTTGATAATCTATAAAAGTTATAAGAATTATAAGATAGCATTAATACACGCAGACGTTACAACTACATCGATTTATCCATACTTGGGTCACTTTAAAAGCACTTTTTCCTCCTCTCCAGTTTTCCACAGTAACTTTATTTATTTACCTGCAGGGATTTGAGTGACAACGAGATCAAGGAGCTCCAGTCGAGGATATTTTCAAGTCTCTCTTCCTTACGAACACTGTTAGTGAACAAAGCACCATTTCATTAAAATTTTTAATGTGTTAGATAAATTACCTCGAAGTATCCGAAGCCCTCCGTTGGCACCTTCGGGTTGGCGGAAGAGGGGTGATGGAGAGGGGGTGAACGTTTGATTAATTACCTGTAGTTTGGCTTCACCTTTCTCAGCTTTCTTTTTTTTTAAGTCTTTAAGGAGTCTCTTTCAGCCACAATCCTATGTGTCCATATAAGTTAGAAGCAATCGTTTTAAGTTCAGGATCATCCTTTCGTGTGTTTCCATCACGTTATGTCTCAGAATTCCTTCACCTTCCATCTAACTTCCCCGATAAGCTTGGTTGACTATCAATTGCTAGACTTTCTTTGTTTTCGTAAATAGTGAGACCAACTTTTCCGTAACTTCACTTTTAAAGCCCGTCTGGACCAAAGTTTTTTGGTCAATTTGCATAAGAATACCGTGTCAAATTTGTAAGTTATTTTACCTACCTTTATCAATAGGCCATTTCCGAGTTTCCCCGGGCCTCTGTATCAAAACGAGGTTAAGTGCTCAGCCTTTGATATGGAAATGACTTTTCATTCTCGTGCAAATAAAACTCATTTTCACAAGAAAGGTTTTGCGCCTGGCCTCATTTTGAAAGTGAGGGTTTTGGAACTATTAGATGCGATGCTTTTGTATTCACGTGATGAATGATTTTGGATTATTATTATGCCTTTGTCAATTGTCGAGCGTGCAAATCTGCGTCTCGTGTGACTTTGGGCGGATCCTACAATTTTAAACTGCGCGGATAAAATTTCAAATCAAAATGGTTTTGGTATACAGATATTTGTTACTGTTGAATGTTCAGTGAGATTTAGATTGGGAGCTCCGAATCCTTTGGAAAGATTGACCACTGAAGTCCACCCAAACCGGCAAAAATGATATACAATTTCCCGCCAATTTTACGTATCTTACAGTTTAAGCGAACACGTTTGTTCGAATACTTGCGTCTCATCCATAAATATGCTCTTAGTCTGCTGTTTCATTTAAAAAGTTGGTTTGCTCAAAAATTGAATTACGCTACAGCTTTTGCACGTGTTTATGGCAATATTATACCGCGAAATGTAAACATTACTTTTTAATTTGTTTTGATCGAGTTTCACATGTGATGTTTCCTGCAAGATTTACCGTTAAATGCTAAACATAGAATCTAGTTTGCGTATGTTTTTGTTTTATTTACGTCTGAACAATTCGAAGAAAATCCCTTGATATTGATTCGGAAAGGGATTTAGCTAGATTAAACAAAGTTCTAAAAGCACTGGTTTTCACTGATAACAAGATAAGTGTAATTTGAGCCGGTACTTTTACATCGAAAAGCACGTCAAAATTTTCGTCTCGTGTGATTCGCCAATTTCACTTGTGTTAATTAAATGTTCACTTAGATTTAGGTTGGGAGCTACGAACAATCCTTTTGGAGGACTGAGGATGTTAGTCAGCAAAAATCGGCAGAATCAAAATACAGTTTCCTAACATTTTTAAATAACAAAACAAATGCACTGAAATACATTCAGTTACATTCATACATACATACTTTATTGCACCGCTCTCCCTTGGGGGCTCTTCCGCCATTCATACATAAATTAAAATAAACTAGAAAACTATTTACATGTCGATAATGAAATATCGAATTAAAAAAGTTGTAATGATAATAATAAATAACTAATTTTGAAGACTATTTACATTTCAATAATAAAACACTATCTATGAATTGAATTCAATTTTTAAAAGCGGCAAGAC